AACCTAAATGTAAAAAATATATAAAATTATATACATTAGTATGTGAGATGTTTTTTTAATATTAATTAATTTCTTAATAGTTTATTGGAAATTACTGATTTTGTGCCTAAGTGATGAGGATTTAGCAATTGTTAAGAACTTGAGCATGTAGCAAAACTATCTGACATTTCCCAGTCATCTTTTCCTGTGTTCCTGAAGGGAACAGTGTTTCATCAGTATACAGTACCTACTGAAGGTACTGTAGGTCTGGGCTGACTGACATTTGCTCTGTAAGTGTAAGGCAATTAACACTTGAAAGCAGAGCTTGTTAAATGCCTGGTGTGATTCCAGGTGCCTTGTGGTAATAAAAGCTCTCCTAAAAAACTAAAGCAAAACCTTTGAGCATTTCAAATGCTAAATCTTCGCTCTTCCTCAATTTGCTTATTCATCTTGAACAGGGTGTATTCTTAGCGCTGCGAGATTCTGCTGTCTTCTGTCTGTGACATTTAGAAACACATTAGTACTGGGTTATTTACAACTGAAGGAAAGTTTGAAAAACAATATTGTTCAGTCTGTGACCGCCTCTAATTTTCTTTCTCCTCGTCTACTCGCTCAATTCCCAAGCTTAATAGCGTCTAATAAATCCCTTCTGCACAACCAGATGCTTTCTCAGTCGCTGATTTATAGACGCGTTGCAAAGAGTTAACGTGAAATCATCAGCTGCCCTATCATTAAGTCAAACTAATGCAGGAATGGCTTACAACAACAGCGATGTTCTTTTGCGGGTCGGAGGTATTGGAATTGAGGGGAGACTTGATTCTTGTGAGGTTGCTGCTGCTTAGATATGTTTTCAAACATTAGTGTCAAAAACTGGAATATCCAGATGTCCTACAGAGCTGCTGCCGCCAACCAAATGCCTAAAACGAACCACAAGAATCTTTGCAAGTCTTAACATTTGTTCAAATTTATTTTTATTGGATACAAATTTGAATTCCAATTGATAAAGACATGAGGTGGCTATCATTAAAGTCTGTGATATGTGTTTTTCGTGATACATGTTCAAACAATTTACATAATTCAGATGAACAAAAGTCATAGTCATATCAAGTGGGTTGAAGAAAATAATAGTTATGGTGTGTCTTATGTTGCACATTCAAATGACTGAGAGAAAAGTTTAAAGCAATCTTCAATCGTGTTTAAAGTTGTCTTCTACATTTTAATCACTGAATCTCCTGTTATCTGTAATATTTGAAATTTGATTAAATAAGATAAGGAAAAGACTCGTCGGTTTGCTTTGCCGTTGAATTTACAACCTGTGACATGGCTACTGATGATTCCGGAAGGTGCCTCAGTATACTTGTGACACTTGTCAGCCTGTTCTGACTGCTGTGGTGGCTTTAACAGCTAAAGTATGTGTGAGTATCACTTACTCCATGGAGCTACTCATAAGGGATGGTGAGAACGGCTGGATTCCAATGTGAATCCCTGGATATTAGTTTCATATCACGGTTAACAGACAGACACAAAGCAGAGAGAGAGAGAGAGAGAGAGCGCCTGCTAGTGACGTGATCAGAGTCACAGGATACAAGACTACACCTCAACAATGCAACATAGATATTTTCTCAGTATAAATCATGCCTGTAGTAGTCAATATTTGAGAAAAGTGATACTTTTCAGATTGAGTATGTTTTACAGGTTTGTATATGATCTTTATCTTTGGTAATAACATTGGAAGAATATCAATGTTCCAGCCAAATGAATGACATATAAAGTCCCAAGTCAGACCAGTAGAGGAGCTGGAAGAGGCAAGAAAATTAACAAAAAAAATCTGTCTCCTCTTCCATGAAAACTCTGCTCACAGAGCAGACATGAACACTGCCACAGAAAGAAAACATTGTGGTAGGAACTTTTAGTCTATGCAGTTTTGCGAGGTCCACATCGACACAAAGCAGAGAAAGTAACCATGCCTAATTTTTACATAGTAAAAGATTTGAGTTCTCATATTTGGGATATATACTGTACAGTAGCCATGTTGTACTGTAAAAGTAAATATATGTCAGATCATTTAAAAAAAGCCAACCACTGTATCTGTGCCACAGAGCTAATAAGGGCAGGACAGCCTGTTATGACTTCACTTGTCTGGCTTTAGGATGGGAACAAATGGAGCCTCACAGGGTAATTAAGAGACGCCCATGCCTCA